AAAACTTCAGCATCACAAACCTAATTTACATGATTATGAACATCATGATTCAAAAAAAGGCAAGCAAAAAGATGGGAAACCTAAGACAAAGTATCCCTTTCTCCAAGCACAATATTATTATTCAGACGCACTTTAAAAAAGTACTTTGAAAAGTGATCGTTAAAACGATTTAAAGCGTTATTTTACATATCAGATTTATATGACAATTCATAACTCCCCGACATCACATAATAGCCCAAAAAAGTAAATTAAAGTATTTTATACTCAAAACAAAGAACTGATAAAATTAAATGAAAAATCTGGATTACACGATACCTTTTTTTATCCAGTTTCTATGATCATTTCACGAAGGAACAAAAGAGTAAAAACTAAACTATCGAAAGCAAGTGCCAGTGGCGTGATTCTAGCTGCGATAAACAGCGCAGCAAATTCTCCAGCCACGAAGTTCGTTTATAAGGCAAATAAATAAAAACGAAAGAAATATGATAGGTCGATGAAAGCAGAGTGTTATGGACAGGGAACATTGGCAATAACTGACAAATAAATGTTAGGTTTATCAGGCCAAACCGCCCTCGTCTAACGCGGAACAACAACAACAGAAAAAAAAATCATCGTATTTTTGGGAAGAGGTTTCGGTCTTATTTGTTTCTGCTCTTAGTGCGGGTGATGAAGATGGAAATACCTTGTTAAGCCGATAAGTTGTGGGAGTAGGGCGATTATTTTCTAAGCCTCTGTCATTGTTAAATGGAACCAAGAAGAGTTCTTAAATTCGCTTTTTATTAAAAAATACTTGTGAGTTTCAGGATGGTATAAATGAATTTTAATAAACATTAAGAATTAAACAATTTATCTTCTACTTTCTTTTTTCGTTCTTGCCTAATAAAACTTCTTGAAGCAAGACTATTAACATAGTAAATATTAAGTTTCAAGATTATTCTGGGTTGTATACTAATCAACCATTTTTGATGTTTTTCTTCTGTTACTGTTGTTGGAAATACGTTCCTGATATATGATTTTTAGAATCAATACATTAAATTTCAGCAATATATTTCTGAAAGCAATGTTACACATCTTAGTTAAATTTCAGTTGACATGAACGTTATTTTGTGCTCGATATTACTTAATTTTATGCGTACATTCTGCAGTCGAAAGGTGACAGTAGTGAAGAATCCCGCAGTTAAGAGAAAATCAAAGACATTTTCCAAATTCTTTTTGATAAAGCGATTTCCTCATTTTTGAGTTTTCATTATTTTGAGTTTGAAGACTTTCAAAGGGTTGGCTTGTTTGGTTTATTGGACTGCGGCAAACCATACGAAGACTATCTTCCTGCTGGGAGGGATGCCTTCGTGGAGGATTTTATAAGGTAAACTGGCTTGTATTCACTTACGCATGGAGAAAGCCATGATAACACCGATACACAACCAACCTGCTCCTTTGAATTCGAACACAGGTCAAACTACTAATGCTCAGCGATTTTGCCGCTCCACCGCTGATGCGCGACTTTCTAAGGGAAACTGCATCATAGTTACATTGCACATGGGGAAAACCGCAGAAACGGGCATGTAACCAGATGAGATTCCAACCCAGTTCGCCAAGGTTCTAGCTCCGGTCGAAATACAAGATGTTTATCTGGTCCATTACATATTAGTCATCTTGTCAGGGAACGATAATGCGAAAGAAATTCATTGAATGATGATATGTACTCAGAATCTTTGTGAAATAAAATGTTCACGCTTTGCACCATTGATTTCAGCACCTTCTCGAAACAGCTTTCATATGCTTCATATTGTTTTACAAAAGCTATTGGCAAAGAAGGCGAAGAATTGCATGATCATATTGCTTAATCACATCTTCGAGTTATTCCCAGGAACAGTTTTACTGTATGTTGGTATCTTAAGTTTCTTCTCAAAGAGCTCTGTTAATCCGAATGCCAGTCGTTATCTTAGTTATCTATGTTTAGTTTTAGTTATCTATGTTTGCTACCTTAGTTATCTATGTTAGTTTTTATCTTAGCTAGTTTTTACCTCATGAAGTTCAGCAATCTAGACTAACATCTCAACTGAAGATGTGTTTGTTTAAAAAATGCATCAAATATTAAGCTAGGAAAGAAATTTCAGAAGGGACAATGTTCGGGGGATTTTTGATCATCGGTTTCATCACATAATAAGAATTCCTGTCATCAATTTTTCTTGCAAAATGAGAAAGATTCAGACAGAGAAAAACTAATCTAACCTCATCTTAAGCATGTACTGTAACAGAACACATGCTGAAGATACCCGTTAAGCATGTATTATATTAAGGATGCTGTTTGCCTTCAGCTAGTCCTCTCCAGAAATGACATGACATTTTTTCATTCCTAAACACTATATCTTTTGCTTCGCGGTTCCTTTAAAATGGAGAAGATGGAATTTTGTCGCGGTTTAAATCCTTGTAAAGCATACGATGGTGGATAGTCTAACACTGAACCAACTTTTGAGTGATATCTTGATGATTCCTTATACATTGCATATTTAGCTGCATTTATCGTAGTCCTCATTGCAGGCAATCACCCACATGTTAACAGTATACGGATTGCGTAAATTGCAAATGATATTAAACTTGTAGGTAGAGGGAAGCGGTCATATAAACTACTTTCATATTGAAACTGGTTTTTAGAACTGTCTCGTTTTTATGATCATGAAAATGTTCTAAAGTTTTATTCCACAAACTAAATCTTTATGCGTGATAAATTATATTCTTAAAATAAAACGATCCGCTACCTTGGTTTCGGTTTCTAAGGCAGCATCATTCCACTTAAATTTAAAAAAATAATAAGAGACTGAAGTTGTTCTAACCTATAACAAAATTCGTTACTTGTTTATTATCCCGTCGACCGTAAGCGGAAATTTCCGTAATGATCGCGAATCGTAATGTTACTCGCGCCCATAACATACCTTAAGCTACACGTTCCTCCTGGGTAGTGCTAAATGAATACCAACACTTGCAAGATTGGAGCTTTGTTTATCATTGTGGAAACTTTATGTGTTTTGCACTGGAATCCTAGCGGGATGTCACAGGCAAAGAAAGTGGAACTTGAGAATATTTATCGTGAAAGGAATGTCCAGATATTATCTCTGATTGAAGCTAATATCACTAACGGAACTTTGAGAAAATTTAAGTTTAAAGTGTATAGCTTGTTTTGTCTATAAAAGAACAGACAGGCTGCAAATGGAATCCTGGTGGGAAACAAGTCTACCGTTATATCGAGATTTACAGTCTTAAAAATGGGAAGTACGGAAGATAAGACAATTATTGTAAAATGCTGCGATGAATAAAGAATGCCATTACTCAAAGATTTTGCGCAATTCGGTATGGATCGGAAACCTCTGGTTACAAACAAATTCATTGTGGTTTACCGCAGGGAGACGTGACTAGCATAAGTCTTTTTAGTGTATACATTAACGATCTTCCTGACAGAAGTAAAACCATAAAAAACATTGAATATGCTCTACATTCAATGGACGCTGTTCTCTTTTTTTTTAATGAAAACTGAGAAAATTATCTTTGTATCTCTTCGTTTAAGTAGGAAATACAGAAAGCCCTTCGCAGAAGCGAAGAAATGTAAAGCGAATTTTTGCAAAGGTATACTTGTATTTGAAATATTGACTCGAAATTGAAATATTGACGCGAACGTTAGAACGTTAGAATATCTCTTTGAAGAATATATCTCTGATTTCACCCAGGAACATTTAAAATTCTACTCTAAAGTGTCTACGAATAGTTAGAAAAATAAAACTTTCGTCGATATCACCAATTTTCTCGCAAAATAAAATTCATGCAAGAATTCTTGTCACTTTATACTCAATTTTTAAATGCGCTTTTTGGAGGCCACAACGAAATGACCTGTCATTTGTCTTACAGATCCACTGGAAAGTAAACATGAAACCCTCTGAGTAGAAGAAAAACATTCTGTCATGTAATTCGAGGATAACTCATATTAGCATGCGGGAAACGCTGACATATGTTCCAGATACCAATATATTCATTTAACTGGGTAAACATATTCTGCTGAATTTACTCTCCTAAATATCCTTTTTGTGTCATCAATGGTTTAAGACAAAAAACGAAGGTTAGTTAATTGATTATGACGAGGTACTAGAGGGTTGTCCACCTTAGCCAATGCCATAGTATAGGACCTTCTAACAGAAATTGGCTGACATTCGCGTTACACATGTGAAAAACCATGAGAAGCCAGCAAGCAGGTTTACTGAGAAGGAAAATCAGCTCGGAATACCAGTGTTCAGCAATCATGGACAGTTGTAGGCCATAAAACACAAAAGTTTACAATTGCATAAAGCATGCTTATGAGGCGAGCGGTATTATACAATGTTCAAAAGTAACTATAAATTTAGCATACAAGTAAAATAATATCTTAGTTTACAAAATTGGTTTCCTCAAACTATGCTCAAAAAGTGTTTTATATTCGCAGAATTCCGGAAATACAATTCAAACGTTTGCGTACAAGACCTAATTTTTGCGAATTTTAGATAATTAAAATATAATTAATATTTTTCTACCTGGAACGTTTGCTCTAAGGAAACCACACAAAAGATCAGATATTTTATTTCCAGCAACATGCCCTGTCAATAACGTTAAGACTATTTTTCAAAACATAGTTCCGCTTAGCTGTTTAAAGAGACTTTGTGATTGGATGTCCATGCCTGAAATGAGCATTTAAGGTAAAAACGCATGTAACCACTTTTTCAAACATGTTGCATATGTTACACATCAAAATATTATAAAATATGAACATTGACCTATTTAATTGATAGAGGAAAAAAATTGCAAATTTTTAGTACTTATAAGATAGCGAGATATTAATACAACTAGATAACAAAATATTGCTAAGCATCTAAATTAGAAATTTCGATCTTGAATAAAAACTTAATAAGTAACCTCAGTATTAGATGATACGTTATGTATAAAAAACGTTTTCGATTCGAAAGCTTTTTGTAACTTACTTTCAATACCAGCTAACGTATCCTTGACCGAAGCCAGCTCCCTGCGAAGTTCATGATGTCCAGTTTTGGCCCCAGGTACGAGACCATACAAGAGGGTACAAATGAAGGCTGCAAGGGAGAACTTCATCTTAATTCGGTTCCACTTCTACTGCACAGCGGAAGCAGTCGAAGCGTCAGTTTGTGCACGCCACCACATTCATCCAGCTTTCTTTAACTAACCACATTCTGAAAGGAAAATAATGAATAAAAAGAGTCACAAAACAGGAATAAGGCTATTGTCTGAATAATGAATAAACCGCTCATTACTGAAACCTTACTTGCTTTCTTTCGTCAGTATTATTGTCAGACTGAGGTATCTATGCCTATTTCTCTCGCCCATAACATTGCCGGTCTGAAATTTTAGTTACAAACCAGTACGGAAAAGCCTATGACTCATTACTCGCCCAATAAAAAATTGCCTAAAAAGCCATGATCTCGAAGTTCGGTAAGGTGAATGCTCCAAAGAAATGCAAGCTAAGTAGCTCAAAAACCATTTTGTATATAAGGTATGATAAGCATGAACCAGTATTTTCTAAACACATCTTGTTGCTTTGAAGCATAACAAAGGAGCACTGACTGGAAAAAAGATGCTGAAGTTTAAGATCTCAATTGGAAAACTAGATGTAACATTATCTATAGGTAATTTATACTGTTAACTGTAATAATGGGTTAAGAATTTTTATGTTGTTTTTTGGGTCGTATCTCAAAGAGTTTAGTGCTTATTATGTCAGTATATATCACGGGGATAAATGAGACAAGCATTTTAGATTGTAACGGGCTCGTTTGTGGCTGAATGTTTAACACCGCTGAATGCTAAAAGGTCGTCCTCGGTTCGATCCCAGGCAAACAGAAGAATGCATGGTTAGGTTTCATGGCTTTTACTATGTGTAATGTGAATAAGAACCAGTTACCCTTAGAACGTCATCGAAAGGCATTCCTTTCTTTAGGCAGGTAACCCTCGCGTGCTTTTTCATATTCATAAAATCTGAATGTGAGCCATAGCACTATCAAGAGCTAGCACAACCCTCAGATTGGGAACACGGTTTTGGACTGGTTGTTTATTAACTTGCTTAGGAATCCTAAAGTACAAAGGTTTAGTGAAAAACATATTCGATATTGCCGATGAAAACGAGGCCCTTTTCAGTACTCCGCTGTTGATGGGTTTACTGTAATGCGCAATGCAAAAAAAAAATTATCATCGTCTGAACGCGAACGTTAGTTATTTCTTTAATTAGAATCATGGTCTTACGACGACTTCACAAGAGATAATTAGCCGTGCAGCATTTCTGGAGCACTCTGCAAAACATTTGAATTATGAGTCAATGATGTATACATTATATTCAGTAGTAGAAACTAGTAAATGAATAAGTAAAAATTGAGGAAAAACTTTCCAGACAAATTGTGGCCTAAGTATCAGCTGATTTATACATATGAAATATTTTATTCACTTGTGATATTTTTCTTATTTTATTCATTGTGGGACATGAGTTATCCAAAAGTTATATTAAAACTAAAATCATGCATTAGCAAGTCGTAATACAACTTTAAATAATTGTGTTGATCTTCAAAATAAATATTTAACACGTTGGAGCCTAACAAATACGGAGTTAACTTATTATGGAGACTCATATATATGTTGAGCACACACATATTGAGCATACACATATATGTGAATCACTCACTTAGTGTATCTAATACACATATATATCAATAAAGCACACGCATATAAGGCTGATACACTGTAACTTCAAATTAAGACATGTATGTCCTACAATTTATACCATGCTCTATATCAGAGAAGCCTTACTAATACCAGGAAACACTATCCTGAAGAAACTATATTTCATCTCCTGGCTTCTTCCACATACGTCTAATCAAGTACCAAAGACTATCAACAATCTTTGATACTTGACCCACTCAGCCACTAGTAAGACAGCAGCGGCTAGTCAGAAGGTATACAGAACTTTAGTTGAATATTTTTTAATTTAAATTCCAAGCATATTAGTTACCATAATTTTAGAAAACAAGTAATTATAATTAACGTGAAGAATTAAATTATTTATTTATATTTACATACTTTCATTTCATCACGTGCATGAGAACAAATAATGCATTTCTGTAATGCAGCTTATCAAAGATCAAAATAGTATACCTATTTATAACTATCCTAATTTATATATTAATTTTATTCCATGTGCAGTTACGTAGTGTTTTAGTCTCGTTCGTTAGATAAAATGCCATAATTAAGTTATTATTAACTGATCTTGAATAATACTTTTATGAAGAGAATTGCTTAATTACGATTTACGTTCTGATGCTTTCCAGTCAAATTACTGAGAATTTTATTTTCACTCAGAAAAGATCATTTGATATATAATTACAACCTGGCCTATTTTGAATGGGGTAGTATCGTTTTATTGTATATAATTTATATTACATATAATGTATTTCCATAACGAATTATATACCTAAAAACAATAATAGTATAACAGTATCGCAATATGTATTTTTCTGTTGTTCAGTGATATTATAAGTTCAAAATCAATCGTCCAATATAAGTTTCAGCAAAATGTAGAGGGTGTTTATACATTTTTAGAACAATTTCGCGGGTGTTTAAAATGTAATGTACTGATGTTTAAAATATAAAGAGTGCTTTTTAAATGTTCGATTTTATAGCCTTTTCTTCGGATAATAAATTTGCATAGTGGTTTCTATGATAGAAAGGCTTTTCGTAAAATTTCTAAGGGAAAGATTTCTATTCATCTGTCACTACGTTTTAGAGTCCATCAATAGCGGTGATTTTCCGCTTTAAAAGAGCTCTTTATAACCGATCAGGGGCATAATAGTCCATAGATGAAATGTCAGAGGATTTTGCAGGAATATATTGAAAATGTAAATATGCAATACCTGTATCAGTCTCCATTTTATAAAGGAATGTAGTGGTACTTTTAGAAGTGAGACTTGATGAAGTCTCGTTCTTTGAATGTCATTGGGATAAAGAAATTGAATTTCTTCTGTAAATATCGAACATAAAATTTTCTCTTGACAGTACATTTAATTGAGTACATTAAAATTCTTATTTTAATTTCCCATTGTAAAAACAATCCTCCAACAATCTTTTCCATTGATGGATTCAGGTTCGTAAATTTTTTCTCCTCATTTTGGACAATAAATAGACCTTTTTTGTTGCGTCATCCATGCTTCGTCAAAGCATCACAATGTATTCCATTTATCTGCTGCTAAATAGCTTTCATACATGTTCTACAAACTGCTCTGCGCTGAGCCACATGGCTCGCAAAAGCTGACAAATATTATGTTTTTTAGCTTTTCTATATCGTAAATATTGAGTTATTATTTTATTTACTGCTTTTAAAGGTGTATATAGAGACTTTGCAACTGATTTCTGCGTCGGTGGATTTTTTTTCTTGTTGCTAAATATTTAACTTTAGAAACATTAGAAACAGTACATATCTTTTTCAAGCATTAGTCTGGAGTCTTCTTTCTGTGTAGAAGTAATGACTGACGGTATTTTTTGCAGTTAGAAACTTTAATACCATGCATTTCATAACGTTTCAGAAATATGGAATAGGAATATTTCTTTTCGGAAAGCCCAAAAAATATCATTCCACAGCTTGTTTACATGCGACATTTGAAAAAAAAGATTAAATATAAGAATAGTAGATGATATTTCTCACTTGAGATAATAACCTGTTGCCAGAATTTTGAATTTAATCATTTGTAATTTAGTATTTTATTAGTAATCTACATATACGGTTTTAATTTAGTGTCATTTCTATCTTTATTTATTTATTATGTTAGCTCTAAAATGCTATTTGTTTGTGAATGTTGTTTGATTTATTTACTTGTGAAAAAGCCACATAATGATAACGAAATTAACTAATATTTTTATTAGCTGAATGGATTCCGCCTATATTTTCATCAAGATATCCTTTTAATTTCATGAAAATGAGAAGCTTATATTTTTCTCTAGAAAGCTCTAGTATCCTTTTAATTGCACCATTTCTTTAATTTTGTTTTAGACAAACTATTTTTTTTTTTTTTAGTTTTGTTTTAGCCAAACCATTCATTTTCTTAAAACGCTGCTAGAAGCCATTTTAAGGTTTCAGTTTTAGGTATAATCTTTTTTCTTATTCTTTTCCGTATGCCTTTGTGGTGTAATGCCTTTGTGGAAGTGCATTCGACGCATATGCGAGAAGTCCAGGGTTCGAGTGCTGGCAAGGGCGCTGCACTTTTTTCACGTCGTCTTCTTCATAAAAACACTACATAAAAACTCTTACACAGATACAAAAAGTTTATTAGATAATTGAAATATTGCTCGTTTCATGGTGAAAATTCAGATGGCTTCGAAGATTTCTTTAACAAAAAATTAAATTAAAAATAAATTAATTATATATATATATATCGGATATTTAAAGAGAAATATCATTCTATGAAACTATTCAAAATTATGAAGCGTTCATAAATTTTAGTAATGACAAAGAAAAGAAAATGAGAGGTACTGAAAACGTTTTTTTTTTTTTTTTTTTTTTTTTTTTTTTTTTTAATTTTTATTAAAAAAACTCCGCTTAAAGTTGCAGAAATATTTATGATTTTCGCTTTTAAAGAAACGTGAAAAGTAAGGGATCCTAAACGGATAATGATGTTTCGGAACGTTCTTTTAATTTCAAAAGTTCACCATAATGCTCTCTTTCATTTTTAGATGAAGTAATTTAGTTGCCTTTAGTAAAGTCATCTTCGCCAGAATGTCGTTTTTTAAGAACTCTCCAAATCTTCAGTCCAGAACCATCAGGGCCAAATCATAATAAACACGTTTAGTGCCAAATTATACGACAAAAGAATTCAAAACACACCAAATACATAAAAAGCAATGTATGATTTAAAGAGATAAAAATCTGCAGTTTGCAGATTTACGAGCTGTTAGAAACTATACTGAAAGTGCTGTCTCAGCAAAGATTATCGTTTAGCCAAAGGCTGTTGAAAATTAGAACAGAAAAATTTATTTCTTTGATAAATGTAAATTACTTTATCTCGTAAATTTATGACAAACATTTGTGCTATTTTAATGTTTCTTCTCAATATCACACCTCGAACAACTACCTACGTATTTTCTCCTTGAATCCAAAGCAGCATTGAAGAGAATTTTTCTTCGCTGTTGCTAATCGAGA